GGGTGGAGTGGGGTGGGATGGGATGGGATGGGATGTGATGGGATGGGATGCAATGGGATGGGATGCAATGGGATGGGATGCGATGCAATGGGATGCGATGCAATGGGATGGGATGCGATGCAGTGGGATAGGATGGACACTGGGCTCTGGGCTCCTCCACCTTTCTGTGGCTTTGCCTTTGGGAAGGTGATGACATGAAAACCGCTGGTCCGTGAAGGCAGCGGTCAGGACGGCTCATTACCCGGGGACATTAATAGTCAGCGCTATAACCTCCAGTTCTGCTGATACTGTTACTTCCACCGGATCATCAACTTTAATCCTTTCGACGATCAAGGTTTTGCTGGGGCAAGGCCTCCTTCCAGCTCAAACTAATTCACAAGCTTTGCACTAAAACCTTATTTATTCTGGCTGCTTATCGTCTCCTGGAGCTCGTCAAGAGGGGAAACGATGGGGCTGTGATTTAAACCCCCGGCCGTGGACTTTGCAGCGATGGGAGCAGCAGCAATCGCAGGAAGGAACAGGAGGAAAAGCCCAGGGAGAAACAATAGGTTACAGGACAAACACTACGGGGATTTCAAAGCAGGGCTGGCGGGGAGGGTGATGCTCAGGGGGACCTTTGAGCTGAAACGCCCTGAAAACAGGAGGGTCCAGCCTGGACGGGCAGAGCCACGTCCTTCCCGCAAGACCGAGGTTGGGTGCGATGCCCCGTGCTGGCTTTCGCACAGATCCCACCCCTCTTGCTGCCCACCACGGCTCGCTCCGGCGTGCTCCGGCTTTGCTAATTGCCGTTGGTGGCTCTTGGCCTTAACGCACCGTGACTGTTCACAGGGGAGTGGTTGAACCCATTTAACGCAGGGCTCTAAGTGGCTGGTGGAGACCGGCTTCTGATGATGGTAAACGATGCTGTTAGGTATCGCAATTAACATTTTAAAACACGCAGGGCACCGATTTAATCAGAGAAATAACCGTGTGAGAGTCCGGGCACCTCGCACATATTTATGGCTTTAATTATTTATAATAACGTTACTGTGGGCTTGATCGTAGGGCTCTTTGCATGAACCTGCTGAGGCTGGCTTGTGTCGGATGCTTGTACCAAGCGTACGGTACAGGATTTCTGTACTGGGTTATCCCAAAAACTACTGGGATCACGGCAGTGTCACCGAAATTGGGAATAAAACTCCTTAACACCAATGTAGTATTAAAGAGCAGGCGTTCTTCATTGCGGCATTGGATGCACGGGGGATGCCTATCGTGCATGCCACCAGCTACAACCACTGAGGGTTGTATTGCCCCAAATCATACATATTCATTTTGTTTCCCGGAACTCGTAATATTTCCATCTTAATTACGCGTGCGCTTTAAGTCTCTGACGGTGCCCAGTGGTTTGTTGAAGAGGCGCTTTTGCCGTCCTTTTTCATGAACTTGAGTCTTTTTTCCATATATGGTCACGAGTAGCCTCATCGAGCAATCTTGTCACAGTGTGTTGCAAGAGGCGTTTCCTGACTCTTATCTGGTGGTCTTACCTGGCATCTGGTTTTGGGTCGTTTGTAAGTAATCATCTTCCAGGATGGACGTTCTTGCAACAGCAGGACCCCAACTTCACCAGCTCTGCGGTCTGGGGTTCCCAGGCCAGCACAGCCCCCCCCCGAGGTGTGGGGCAGCACCAACCTGCTGGGGAGGCTGCACAGGGTTAAATTGCGGCGGTGGTGGCTGAGTCTCTGTTTCCTCCCTTAACCCCACGTCCGAGGGCGAACGCCCTTTCTTTGATCTCGGCTTTATTATTACAGCTCCGTCCCTAGACCCGCGCGGAGGGACCTGCCTTTGTGCCGTGGGACGCTGAAACGCTGTCTCTCCCTGCCTCCCGACAGGCGTCCAGCCGTGGAGCCGTGCTCACGGGGAGGCAAGGTGAGAAGGTGTCACACCGGCTTCACCCGGCCGGGTGCCCAGCATCGGTTGGGTGTGTGGTCCACTGCGTGCTGGATTTTCAGTCCAATTTGCTGGGTGCTTGGGGGAAAAAAAAGAGAAGAGCTGTAATATTTTGCAGATTGGAAGGTCTCAAAGCTGTTAATGAGCTGTTAATAAGCATCATCCTAGTTTTTCCCCTGGAAGTAGGCGGGTAATAGACATTTCTTGCAGGATGAGGCTACAGCCACATCCTGGTGGAGACGAGTGACTGAATCACGTCCTGTGGCTCAGGGAGCTGATGTCTCTTGGTCGGGGGGGTGGAAACACGGTGAGGCGCTGTGGGAGGGAGCATCTTCCCCCAGGACCAGCAGTGGGGTCCCCATGGGATTCCCTTCCAACCCAAACCATTCTATGATTCTATGATCGCCTGTACCCATGTGCTCCATCCCTCCTCTGCACAGCCTCTCGTGTCTGCACATATCGGGGGGCCGGCGTCCCTCCCACAGGCTGTACTTGCTGTGATTAACACCATGTGTTTGCTCAACAGAAACACGCAGAGAAACGTCACCGGCTGGAGAACCTGGGACTAACCAGGCTGTAGTTTGTTTACAGATAATGGCACTTTCGAATTTGTCCTATTACTTGGATGATGTCGATAACTACAGTGACTACCCAGATTACACCAGTGAGGACACCAGCAGCGTGTGGACAGACCAATCCCACGACCCAAAGGATGTTGCGAGGATCCTTTCTGTCGTCATCTACACCGTGTCCTGCGTGTTGGGCATCCTGGGCAATGGCCTGGTCATCGCAATCATAACTCTGAAGATGAAGAAGTCAGTCAATGCCATCTGGTTCCTTAACCTGGCCGTCGCTGACTTCCTCTTCAACATTTTCCTGCCCATAAACATTGCTTACACAGCCATGCGGTACAACTGGATCTTTGGGACAGTCATGTGCAAGTTGAATTCCTTCCTCCTCATCCTCAACATGTACACCAGTGTCCTTCTGCTCACCACCATCAGCTTTGATCGCTATGTGTCAGTGGTTTTTCCCGTCTGGTCTCAAAACCATCGGTCGACCAACCTAGCGTATTTGGTTTGCTTAATTATCTGGACCGTTGGCATCATTATGAGCTGCCCGTCTCTTGTCTTCCGAGACACGGCACAAGCCCGCAACTCCGTGATTTGTTTTAGCAACTTTTCCCTCTCCAGGAATAAATCTTACCAAGCCCTGGCACTAATGAGGCACCGAACGGTGAACATCACCAGGTTCCTCGCCGGGTACATCCTTCCCATAACCATCATCACTTTCTGCTACATCGCCATCGTCTTCAACTTGCGTCGAAACCGCCTTGCCAAGTCCAAAAAGCCCTTCAAGATCATCGTCACCATTATAGTCACCTTCTTCCTTTGCTGGAGTCCCTACAAACCTCTTGGAAACACAGCCTGACATGATCCCGCGCTCCGTGTTTGAGATCAGCATCCCCATAACCACGGCGCTTGCTGCCTCCAACAGCTGCATGAACCCCGTCCTCTACGTCTTCATGGGCCAAGACTTTAAGAAGTTTAAGGTCACCATACTTTCCAGACTGGTGAACGCCCTCAGTGAGGAGACCGGCCACTCCAGCATCGTTCACAGGAGCTTCTCCAAGATGTCTTCAATGACCGAGAAGGAGACGACAGTCCTCTAAACTCGACCTGGATGCCTTGCTGGAGGGCCACATGCCTCTGGTGTTGCCCATGCCCACCACTATGATGGTGGCCACCCTTGTGGTGGCTCCTGGTGTGGGACAGGCATGGTCCAATGCTGTCCTATAGCATTTTCTTTGACTGGTCTTGCTGCCTGGGGGCTGGCAGGCATTGAAGACCATCGCTCTGTGCACGTGGAGAAGACACAACCACCCTTAGTCTTTCTTTGCGATTGCAAAGGTGATTGCACCAAACTGTTTAAGAAAACTCTTCAGGGCAT